TCCAGAATGGCAATAACATAGAGAAGCTGTTCCTCATAGTCAGGTTCAAAGAGTTCAGCGGTCCATGCACTCAACCCCAATAGCCAAGGGAGAGAAAATCCTGGCTACTGCTCTAGCTGGCAGTTGTACTTTGTCAGCATCTACGTGGCACTGGTTTCAGGCAAATGAAAAATGCATGAGTTTTGAGGTTAAGGAAGCTTCCACCCCAAATTTAGAAGGCCTAGGGGGCCAAGCAGTGTACCCCTGAGAGGGCAATATGTAGAGCTGTGAGTGAAAAGCCAAAGATACAGTGGAGACTCCAGAAGTTTGAAAAAGCCAGGAACATGGATCATCCAAGGAAAGCTACAAAATTGAGCAGAGGGGCCTTAAGAGAAAAGCTGTAGGAGCTGAAATCCCTGGAAGTGCCATGGTGGTGGAATCACTCAAGCCTTTTGCACCTTACATCCAGACTGCTTCTGATGCTGAGCATGGAACTCCAAGACTTAATGTTTGCTCTGCTGGATTTTGGACCTGTTTTGGTTCCAATGCTTTGTATTCCTGTTTGGAACCTTTGTAATGGTAATATTTATCTTGTAGCATTGCATATTGGAAGTGTTTAACCTTGTTTTTGTTTGTACAGGGGCTTACAACAAAGGGTTTGCCTTAAGTCTCAGGGGAGACTTGGGACTTGGAAGTTTCAGCAATGCTGGAACTGTTAGGATTTTGGCAACTCTTGGAGATAGACTAAATGTCTTTTGTATAAAAGATGTACATGAGTCTTTGGGGGTTAACAATGGAATGTTATGGTTTATGTCAGATGACTCCCCCTAAGTCTCATGCAATCATGGACATGCTTGAATCTAACATTTGTGACTGGCTCGTTGTCTAGTATTCATACTGATGGTGTGAGTGCTACACCTACCCAGGGGTAGAGCCAGCATATAGTGTAACAGTGCGAAGAATGCATGTTTTTCTCTTTTTCTGTTTGTGCTTTGCTGTTTGAGGTGGTCATGAATCACTGTTCCTCAGCCATGTTATTTTGCTTTGGCGCCAACTGAGTATAGACTGAAACCTCCAATCTGTAAGAAATAAACCTTCCCTTCCCTAACTTTGTATGTTAGGTTCTTTATCTCAACACAAGAGAAAAATAACGAAGACAAATACCTACTTTGAAAACCTTTACTTTCATAAGTTTGCTAACACGATTGAAATGGACAGATTCTTAGAAACATATGAATTACCAAAGCTGGACTGAGAATATGTAAAACTTCTTAATAATTCAATTTAAGTTAATGAAAGAAAAATATAATTAGAACCTTACCAACAAAGAAAAGTCCAGGTCTTGATAGATTCACAGCTGAATTCTATAAGAAATTTAGGGAAGACTTTAATGCTATCACTACTCAAATTCTTCAGTGAAATTGAAATGGAAGCAATTCTCCCCAACTCATTCCTGGAAGTATTACCCTACTACCAAAACTAGAGAAAGACTCAACCAAAAAAGAGAAATACAGGTCAATCACCCTAATAAACATAGACGTAAAAACCCTCAATAAAATACTGGTAAACAGAATGCAGCAAATCATCAAGAAGATTATACATCATGACCAAAGGGGATTCATCCCAGGAATGCAGAGGTGATTCAATATAAGCATATCAGTAAATCTAGTACGTCATATCAAAAGAGCCAAGAACAAGAATCAGATTGTTATCTCAATAGATGCAGAAAAAGATTTTGATATATCCAACATTCATTCATGACAAAAACCCTACAGAAAATTGGAATATATGGTCTTTACCTCAATCTGATAAAAGCCGTATACAATAAACCAACAGCCAACATCTTAATTAATGGACAAAAACTGAAAGCTTTCATCCTAAAATCAGGAAACAAGACAAGGATGTTCCTTTTTTTCTTTCTTTCTTTTTCTTTTTTTTTTTTTTTTTTTTTGGTACCAGGGATCCAACACATAACTGTGCACTTGCTAGACAGGTGCTTATGCTGCTGAGCTAAATTCCCAGCCTACCGCTCCTTCAGCATAGTTCAAAATAGTTTCAGTGTAGTTCTAGAAACATTGCCAGAGCAATTAGAAAAGGGAGGGAAATAAAAGGAATAAGGATAGGAAAAGAAGAAGTTAAAGTATCATTATTTATAGATGACATGATACGTGACATAGAAGACCCTCAAAACTCCACTGACAGACTTCTATGTGTAATAACCATATACAGTATTGTAGCTGGATACAAAATCAATATTCAAAAATCAATAGTATTCCTGTACATAAACAAAAAACTCACTGAGAGAGAAATAAGGGAAACCATATCTCTCACAATAGCACCCCCAAAAATGAAATACTTAGGAATCAATCTAACAAAGGAAGTAAAACAGCAATACATTAAAAATTACATTACTCTGAAAAAAGAAATCAAAGAGAATTTCAGAAAATGGAAAGATATTCCTTGTTAATGGATAGGAAGAGCAAACATTGTGTGAAAATGGCCATTTTCCCAAAGTTGTTATACAGATTTAATGTGATTCAAATCAAAATACTATTAGCATAACTCACAGATCTAGGGAAATTATTCTTAAAATTCATTTCTAACCAGAAGAGACAATTCTGAGCAACAAAGCTAAGGCAGGAGACATCACACACAATTACTGACCTGAAATTATATTACAGTCACTGTATTAAAATCAGCATGATACTACCAATAAAACAGATCTGAAGGTTAATGGAACAGAATAGAAGATACAGACACAACTACAAACACGCTCAGCAGCCACCTTATCATTGACAAAGAGGTCAAATAAGTTCACTGGAAGAAAGACAAGCTCTTTAATAAGTGGTGCTCAAAAAAAAAACCAGGCTTTCCACATGCCAAAAACTAAAACTAGACCTATTTCTATCACCATGCACTAGACTGAAGTCAAAATGAATCAAAAATCTAAATATTAAAACAGAAACACTAAATCTGCTGGCAGATTAACATAGATAGAAACTTGGAAGATATAGGGGTAGGTAGAGAGCTCATGAACAAAAACCAAACTCCACAGGAAATACTTCCCAGAATGAACAACTAGGATCTCATTTATTAAAAAATTTCTGCACATCAAAAGAAATCTCCAACAGAGTGAAAAGAAAGTCCATAGATTGGGAAAAAATCTTAGCCAACTCTCCTTCAGACAAAAGACTTCTATCTAGAATATATAAAGAAGTAAAAAAAGATCAGGACCCCAAAATTCAAAGACCTAATCTAAAAATGGGCATCTGAGATGAATACACACTTCTCAGATGAAGAAATACAAATGGTAAATAAACGTAGGAAAAAATGTTCAGCATCATTGGTCATTAGAAAATTGCAAATTAAAACCACACTGAGATTCCATCTCACTCCAGAAAGAATGGCCAAGATCAAGAAATAAACCAATAACAAATGCTGGATTGGTATGGGGAAGAAGGAACTGCTCTTCATTCTTGGTGGGAGTATAGGCAACCACTGTGAAAATCAGTGTGGAAGTTCCTCAGAAAGCTAGGATTAGATGTCTCATTTGACCCAGCTATCTCGCTTCTGGGCATTTTCCAAGAATAACTGAAAATATCATACTACAGTGATATATGTGCACCCAAGTTTATAGCAGAACAACGAAATAGCCAAATAATAACCCAAATGCCCACCAACCAAAGAATAGATAAAAATGTTACAGTATTTGTATACGATGGTGTACTACTCAGCTATAAAGAAGGATCACATTGGGGCTTTTATATGTAAATGGATGAGACCATACTCATAATTGAAATAAATTAGACTCATATGTATAAATATTATATTGTCACCCTGGGGTAAGAAATTGAAAGAGTACATAAGATACAAAACCTACAATAAATACTGTGAAAGAGTAAGAAACTGCTCAAAAGGGAAAAATAACTGGGATGGGGAAAGCAGAAAAGAAAGAAGGGAAAAGAAAGAGGACATAAATTTGTTTATATGTATATATGTATATATGTATAAAATAGCTAAGACAATTATACTGCTAGTTCTATTAGTTTTTGAAAAAGACCAGTTAATATATGATTAGATCAATTTTTCATGTCTGCATCTGGTAATCTAAGCAACTCTTTTGAACATAGCAATATACAATATTACTGACATTGTTAAATTCCTATCATCTTATTTTGAAAGCCTATATTGTTATTGTTTTGGGCTTTTGTCCTTCGTGTAATTGTTTGTATCTCTTTTGTTTATTGTTTTTCTTTTCTATGTTTCTTCTCTTTAAAATATAAAAAAACCTGGAATACTTTTGATTGCTGAGTAATTTCTAAAGAAACTATCCTCTAACCTGTATACAACCAGTATAAAAAAAGGGAACAACAAATTTTTAGTTAATTGAGCACACATAAATTTATAAACTGTCAGGTTAACTGTGGCATTTTCCAGCTTTGGTAAAAGGAGTCAGTGATTAGTTTCTTATTTGAAAATGCAATCCTCGTATACTCTTATATTAGTTTACTAATATAAACTAGTGTTGTGTCTGACTTTGGGGTAAGTCAGACACAAACCTCTGATTCTTGGCAGGAACATAAAGCTTCCATAATTCCAAGGTCTTATAGTTATCTGTTACTCTCTGTCTCTTGTAGATTTATCTCATTTGACACTAGTACCTGAGAAGTTTTCAGAGTTCTGTTTTCTAAACTGCTGATTCCTTGGAGTATGTGGTGATTAATGTAAACTTTCAGATTTTCATTTTCTTTTCTTTGTGAAGATACAATTATGCTGTGGGGAACTTTATCCATAAAAATACTTCTAAGCTTTTAAAGATGCAAATAATTTATGGAATGCTGACTCATTTTGAACTAATACAAAATAAGACATGTATGGTAGCAACAAATAGTTTAGAAGTTCTAGCCTTAGAATATTGTTAGTTTTGGCTAAGGGATACTTGACAATTTTCTAAGTGCAAAGTACATTCAATATGCTGCTAGTATACATGCTAAGGCTATTATAAAAGATATTATACTTACCCAGATTTTCAAATTTCTTCTATGTAAAAAGGGGAAAAAACAACCTTTTTTGAAGATCTGATGTCTTGATCCCAAGATACCAGATGCTTTGTGTTTTCTTCCTCCTGTGATGTTAGAAATTTTTTCTTTATTTTTGTTGTAATACAAGCTTGTATATCCTTTACTTCCTCCTGGGTGCTAGCTCTAGTTGGCCAAGAAAAAAAAAAGTGGGTGTGCCTGGTATGTGAAGAGAAGAATGAATTATGACTAGATTTTAGTTTCGTTTCCCAGCTCTGAGAAGAGCCTTTTCCCTGAAGCGCTTCTTTGTAGTAACTACACCACCTTCTGGTGGTTTTAGTTAAAAATCTAAAGAGTTCACGTCTACTCTGCCTTAACTGATCCTTTGGGAATACTGCCTTGCTTTTCTTATCCTTCTTTCATAAAAATATTGTTTTAGTCCATTTTCTGTTCGTATACTGGCTACCACATGCTGAGTAGTTTATCAAGAAAATAAATTTATTTCTTACAGTTTTTGAGGTTTTGAAGTCCAAGGTTGAGGAGCTGCCTCTGGTGAGAGCCTTGCTGACTGGAAGTGTTGCAGAGTCTCGAAGTGCTACAGGACCTCGCAGCAAGTTTGAGAGATAGAGCCAGCTTGCTTAAGTCTGTCTTCCTCTTCCTCTAAAACCACTACAGAAATTGTGAGGACTCCACCCATATGAGAGAGCTAGTCCTAATCATACCCAAAGGCTCTGCCTCCAAATATCATTAACACTAACCTTGAGGTTTAAGTTTCAGTGTTAGTTTTGGGAGGTACCAACACACAGATAGTAGCACTTATTGTATATCGATTACACTACAATAAAGCTAATGTTTGTGTAGCATTTTAAAATCTCTATACTATATAAATTATTCTAAGAACATTGGTGCAAAGGCATGTGTTAGATTATTCTGGTGCAATAGAGAAGCCAAAGTACAAAATGAACAGGTTTATTGAGGTGAGGATGAGGGAAGGAGCACACAAGCCATGGCAGCTGTCTCTTTCATTCAGAATGTGGGGTATGGGACATATGTAACCTTTGACTAGCCATGGTGCTTAGGGCGGGCATTGATGACGTGGGAGAAAATGATTGGAATTTTCTTTGCACACTGGAAAGGAAAAAGGGAGTTGTAATAGGGGAAGGAGGAAGTGACTCAGGGTAGACATCCCGGATTTGGCCTTCTACCACCATAATGTTCTGTAATTTATTCTAGGGCAAAACTCTTTCAACATGTATATAATTGAAAGATGCTGACTGATAATTTTAACATCGTTAATTGACTAGAATTATAACTTGGAAAATGCATGAACCTTCTCAAAAAAAGAAACTTTTTTTCTGAGACAGAATAGGAGATGGTCCCAGATGGAACCTGGCCTAGCACTCACAGGTAGGCCATGATGTTTACTATTTAAACACTACATTAATCATATTACCACAGTGACAAAGATGCACAAGCAATATGTAATTATAGATGAACACAGATAAAACATGAACATTGCCAACCTATAAATATAACCAAAGGTATTCCTGTCCTGTCTAATACAAGTCATTTGTTCTTCATTACTAATTATAGTCTAAGTTTCCTTCTATTCTCATTTTCTAGGAGAGAATTATTGACCTCCTTTCTGTATAGCAGCCATTCTAGAGCACAGCCCTACTACCTGAACCCTCTCCTCCAGTCACTTAACACAAGTAAGGAGGTATTAGGAGATAGAAATCCCTTAATAAATCTTTCCTGACACCCTCCAACTGAGACACCTGTATCACTCTGTCTTTATAATGAGTCAACAAATACAAATTTAATTACTTATATATTCCTGGTGATTTTTGGTTGGTACTTTAAGTGTAAATTCTGCTTAGTTTTAAAGTAGTGTATATTGTGGGAGGACCACCCGGCATCTCCCAAGATCCATGCCATGTTGGAACTTAGGGTACTGTAAAACCAAGCAATCAGCATGCCTCCCTGGTAAGCAGCCATGGCTTGGGCAAGTGGTGGCTGCCTCGGGTAGAACCACCCAGTGTCTCCTGAGATACGCGTCATGTTAGAACTTAGGGCACTGGGAAACCAAGCAACCAGCCTTGGTAAACAGCTGTGAGCCTACTGTTAGGCAGGCTGAGAATCAAATATCCCATACGTTCCTCCCCCATTAACAATAGCCAGTGATCTGAGCATCTCTGGGAGATTGACCATATGCAATACGGCAAATAGTGGGGGATATCCTTCTACCGTCTCTTTGAAGGCAAATATTGTTATCACTGTTTTGCTTTGTTCTGATAAATTGCTCTATTCAGTATTGTCTTGATAAGTACTACAATGTTCTGTATTTGGTTTGATTTTGCTACACCTGATTGAAAGAACAACTATTGTGAAGATAAAAAGATATATACTATGATACCTATTACTGTTATCCTGCTAACCTGTTGTGACATTCTATACCAATTTCACTGCATTGTCTCAATTAGCTATGTTATGTCTCATTCTGTTGCATTTTGCTACCTTCAAAATAATAAAAAAGTATATATTGACAATTCATAATTATATAAATTTATAGGGTACAAAGTGGTGTTAAGAGCTGGGCACAGTGGCTCACACCTGTAATTCCAAGACTCAGGAGATTGAGGCAGGATTGTTGTGAGCTCAACACCAGCCTGGGCTACAAACTGAACTCAAGGCCAGCCTGAACTGCATAGTAAAATCCTGTCTCAAAAGACAAACAAACAAATAAACAAAAAACCAAACCAAAACAAAAAACCCAAAACCAAATCCAAAATGGTGTTAAAAAGATAATGTAGAATGGTTAAATAATCATAAATTGAATAAGTCAGGCACAGAAAAACATATACTGTAATTGTCATGTACATATGGACTATAAAACAATTGGAATCACAAAGGCAGTGAGCACAGTGGGTGGTTATGGAGGCTGGATGCGAGAGGAATGGTGAGATGAAGGCCAAAGGGCACAAGGTCTCACAGAGAAGGATTATGTTTTTAGAGATCTTTTTCATTTTGTGGTGAATGAAGCTAATAGAGAATACTTCAGAGATACTGTGAGAAAATGAAGTGTTTGAGATGGTGGGTATACTAGCTACCTTGAGTTAATTACTCCACATGGTATTCATAAATCTTTGAATACCATAACACTTTGAATATTCATAACACTTTGTACAGGGTTTTCATAGTGGTCTCCAGTCCTATGGAAAGGTTCGCTGCCTTATAAGGTAGACTAATCATCCATCTTTGTCTTCCTAGAATAAAGGAATGCGATACATGGAATTCTTTAAACATCCCTATAAAAGCTATAGACGTCTGGGTTATTTTGCAGAGGAAAGCAGAGCTACAGATCCCAGTAGTTTTCCAGAATTAGAGCAGGGCTCTGTAGAAAACTGCCTGAATGAGAACAACAAAAATAGTTGGTGTTTTAAAAATGAACAGGAAGCACTAACAATTTTGTGTGTGCTCAATTAGCTTATGGTTTTCACATCTCACAATTTATTTGTGCTGGTTTTAGATCACTTTTCAACACTGATGCCCGTAATCCCAGTACTTGGAAGACCTAGTACACCAGAAGCAGCAGGAGCCCTAGGGACCAAGGTCTGAGGATGTTACTGGGTGGTTTGAGCTGGGAGCATGGTTCAAGACAGTTTAAAACACCTAGGAAAAACCTGGTCTCCCCCTTGGGTTTTGGCTCCAGATGTAAGGAATGATAAGAGGCAGAGATAGCTGAGACCAATAGACTTGTTTAAAGGCAACATGGCATGGAGTTTATTGCAGGCAGACCGAGGGCAAAAGAGTCATCCGTAGGAACAAAAAGAAGTGAGCTTTTTGTACAGGGCTTGAAAGATGGCAAGGGATATTAGGTCGGAAACTATGAGTAAACATCAGTGGTCAAAGTTCTCTGGAAATCTTGTGCCTCAGTGCAAAGTCCTCGAGGCACCCACTGCAAATGTTTGAGTGTCTTCAAATGTCCATGTGTCTGGAAGATTCCATGCTCCATCTTCTTTCCTTTATGACATGCTGTATTTACCAAGGGTTAGGATTAGGGGTAGCTAGCTGAGGACAATGTTTCAGCTGGTAGACAGATTGGGTATTGGGAGAATCATGTTCATACTGAGCCCTACCAACAGGCTATGAGGAGATGCCTGTAAGGTTCCCACTAATGGGGACTAACCTAAGTTCAGGTCTGCTAGATCCCAAGAAATTCAGCCTTACCAGATCACAGCCCTGCAGCTGAAAGTCTCAGGTTATCAGGAGATGTCCTGTTAGGTCCCCAGTTTTGTAGACTAATCTGCTAAAATACCAGAATCTAATTTTTACTTCTCTTATTTACAGATGGGAACAACTTCACCTATTCTTTCTGAGACCCTGCTCAGATGTTTTCTTAAGCACTAAAACAAGGTCCACAATAAGACCTTTCAAAGAGACAGTCTTATATTCCTGTGTAATTAAAAATGCCCTATATACCCACTTGGGAAAAATGAGACATGACCACCCTTTGAAAACCTAAAATATAATATTATATTTTAATTTTATCTTTAGTGTAGAGAACAAGAAAATTGGATCTTTACTATAAAGAACAAGAAAAATGGTCAGAGGTGCCTTATGTTTAAGCCTTTATGGCCCTTTACCAAAGGCCTGACCTGTACCCAAGGAATCATCATCCCTCAGGAGCTGATGTTGCAAATCCGCTTCTGTTATCTCCTCCTCCCCACAAACTACCTCCTCAGCAACCTGCTCAGTCAGTACCAGCAAGAGATAAAAGCTATCTCCTAAGTCCACCCTGTTCTAGGTCTGGGTTTATTTATTATAGAGGCCCTGACAAAGGAAATTCAATGTTTAAGCCAGTCATTGTTCCACCCCTTTGAAAAGTGTCAAGCACTGATGGTACAGTGTGTGGGTGGTAGTGACTTTTCAGTTACAGATATTCAGCAATGCAAACAACAACAACAACAACAAACAAAACAAACAAACAAAAAACTAAAACATTAAGTAGTCTCTGAGGATTCTAAAAAATTCACTGAAAGTTTCTGTTCCCTAACAATGGCTTTTGATCTGACCTGACAGGATGTCCAATTTATCCTTGTCTCTTGTTGAATAGCAGTAAAAAATATTATAAAAGGTGCATAGCAGATCAATGACACATCCTTTCCAGCTTCACACTCTGATAATCTGCTAACTGCTGTGTTATATAGGTCCCCAGAGGGATCTGACTCAGGGGAAGGAGATGTCAAGTGAAATTATATATTCCTCACAGTTTCTCTACCAAGCATTTAGCTATGTTATACTGAATCCTGTAGCCTGGATCTACCTCTGTTACCATGGTATCTCTGCTACTGTGGAATAGTTAGAACTCTTGTGTAGGAGGAGAAATAAATTGCAAGCATCCAAAAAGTAGCAAGTAGCAAGCAACTACATTTATTGAAGATCACTGGGAGTTGTGCTTGGGCCAAGACTGTATCAAAAAAAGCTATGGCACAGACAGAAAAATAATACTGGGGTAACAGAAAAGTAGTCACTGCAAAGAAGTCATAGTGTAACCCGTGCTTTTAGAGATAAGTAGCTTCTCCAACTTTCTCTTGCTGAGCCTGTGGGAGACAACCCCAACGACTCCCCTTGAATGCAAAACAATTAGTGCAATTTTGATTATTTGGAGACTTATTTCCTTATACTGATATGCAGAGAGCTGGCTATGGTATTTCCTTCTCTCTTTAACTGGCTCTAAGCATTGAAAATAAGACTAGGTGAAGTGCTGGTATGTGATCTCTAAAGCCAACAGACAATCCTGTTTCCTCACCTAGTGTTCTCCTTACAGGATATGAGCATAGTGGGATGTTTAGAGCCAGTTATCTCCAGAAATGTCAACTGGGTATGAGCCTCAAGGTAAAG